TTTCTGACACTGAAATTTACATACAAACTGGCGGGTGATCTGAGCCCGGCGCTTGCTCATTGAGATGCAGGTCTTTGACTCCGGAGGCACGATTTTGTGTAAATATGTTGGAAACATCTGTGGCCTTAGAAGCGTTCAGGCTCTGATATTTTTTGCGAAAGTTTAACAATCTTGCACAAACTATGAAAGCCATTACCTTAACTGGAAGGATGCTAGGTTAGTCCACAAATCCTCGAATACACATAAAAATGTCAAATGCCTCTTAAAATGAAATTACCTAATCTTAAAGTGAATGCTTGTAAAACAAAAAATAGAAGTGGTCCAATAATTACATTGGTAAGGTCAGCTGTTGCTCATTATAAATTGTGTTTGTTTGTGTGCGTGCGTGTAGAAATATTTATTTGGTGTCAAGTTACAAAACAAGGTAATTTTCTATATTAACTTCGCCTCTCCGATATCGACGATTTTGGTATCGTTGGATTCCTCTCACTTTATACAATCCAAATATGTAGGTTTTATTGCGCGGAAACCCCCGTTAGCGGCAAACTTGGGCTCCATATCGGGGGTGACGATGTCGGAGCGGCGGTCGGAGCAGCGGACGTAATATAGTAATTTTGACGATTTTGGTATCGTTGGATTCCTCTCACTCTGTACAATCCAAATGTGTAGGTTTTGTTGCGCGGAAACCCCTTGTTAGCGGCAAACTTGGGCCCTATATCGGGGGCGACGATGTCGGAGCGGCGGACATAATATAGAAAATTACGCTAATAATATAACCCACAGTGAAAATATCCATGGTCATTCACATGACTTTTCAAGCCCCCTGCAATGGAAAGTCGTGTGAGTAACCATGGTTATTTTCACAGTTTGTTATATCATTAGTGTTATTTAACCCCGCATTTTCCCTGAAATCTTCCATGCCCTCCCTTGCTATCGGGGCCAAGTTTGTCGCTAACGGGGGGGGGGGGTCCGCGCAATAAAAACTATATATTTGCAATGTGGACAGTGAGAGGCGAAGGTAATATAGAAAATTGCTAACATAAAATTCGCAGTCTTTCCGGGACAGCCTTATATATATAATTCGGTTTCCTCCGTATTACTTCCCATTTCCTCTTGGCATGGTCTGTCAACTGTTGCGGGGTTCTTTCATTGGCTATTTCCTAGCATTTACTCTATTTGCCCAGACATTTTCGACTCGGTTTAAGATGCATGTTTTGCTTGGTTTGGCCACCTCGTAACTGCCTTAAGGCCGTGTCACACTAGCACTTTTTCCGCATTACTTTTCCGCTGGCACCACGGAAATCGTGGTCATTTTGGCTTGCGCAGTCACACTAGCGATGAGAACCACGGAAACAGTCCGACCATAATTCAAAACATAGAAAGATAGGTTCAACCCCCGCACAGGCTCTAGCGATGATGGACGTTATTCTGGCTAAGTGGCGACGATTTAATGCGAAACAACCAATGTATAAGGTTAAATAAGGGCGTATTCTCGCTAGTCAGCTGACTGAACAAATGTAAACAAACAGGCGAGCACCTAGTTACAAGCTTGTATTTGTTTTTATTAAATACAAGAGAGAATTTTGCCAATTTTAAAATATTATTTAGAGTTTAAACTGTCTTTTTGAATCGATTTATATTATAAATATTTTTTTTACATTACTATAACGATTGATCTATTATAGCTTATCATTTGAACAAAAAAGACGACGGAAACTTGCCAGCGAAAACGATAATTATCGTTTGACTGGAATTTATCGCATTCACCCAAAATACAAGCGGTAGCGAGGAAAAAAACACGGATACGTCAAAGAACCACGGAAATTGTGCTAGTGTGACACCCCCTTTAGATGTATGTTAGAGGAGTTATCTTGCATAAACATGATCGTTTCTGGAAAAGTCAAGGCATAACCGCGTACTGACGGGAGAAACATTTATAACATTTCAATACATATTTCCGAATTGAATCTTCCCTCTGCTTTGGCGAGTTCACCACCAACACGGCAGGAAGATCGCATATTACAGTTCACGTGGGCACTCTTTTCATAGATATTTCGTCTGCCATATTTGAAAAGAAACTAATGATTGAGATTCAGAACATGAAAAATGATGGTTATGGCACTATTATGTAAAGACACGTATCTATATCACAATTTGAACTAAATTCATTTATGAACAAACTGAAAAGGGTTTATAATATTTACACCTATTATCTATCATAACGCAATGGAACTTCTCGTGCGCAGTGGAACATTTTTTCTGTCCTTATTACTCTTCTAAGCTAATCCAAAAAAATTTCCACATACTACTGAGCGAACTGGAGGAGACGTTGGTCATGTCGTTTGTTCAATCTCACTTTAATGACGGACGTTATGTGACATATCCCATCTGCATGTAGTCGTTTTCTTCACCGTGCGGTTTGTTGCGAGAGCTGAAGGTTTTCTTAAATTTTAGCCGCATCGGTTGTAGGGGGCTTACTGACCCAAGGTCTATATAGTACTTATATACAAGGTCTATATAAGTACAGGTCTCGTCACTTCGGAGTTCTGCGCAGCTTTGGGTGATAAGGCCTATGACGTTACTTATATAGACCTTGCTTATATAGACCTTGTACTGACCTCCGTGGTCTTCCGCGGAGCGACGGAACGTGTTGGCAGTGTTGTCTAAACTGAGTTACTAAATCTTCTTTTTTACTCGTGTATTAAATTCGAATTTATTGACCAACACTCCTGCAATGCAGTCTTTTCATAATTAATATATTATTTGCATTATCCTAATTAAAACAGTTTGTTTGGCCATGGTGGACGGGGGGGGGGGTACGGAACAGTACAAGAAGGTAATAAAGGGTACAATAGGTGAATGTTTGGACAACACTTGTTTAGAGTGCCCCCTCCCCCCTCTCTTAACGGCCGGAAAATCACTTTTCATCCCGACGAAGCGGCCTCTGTTTGTGTTCAACCTGCCTTGCGTCCATCTTGAAAAGGTGACTGCTTCGCGGCCTCGCATTCCCCTCGGGTTCCCACATTTCATTAAGACGTCTTATATCATCGGACAAATTTTCTTTCTTATTTAGAATATATATGATTAGCCGCGATATATATATTAATGAATTTATGAATAAGCAATAGCATAAATAATATCATCTACACACACACACACACATGCACAGAACACACACACACACACTCACACATACATATACACATGTGTGTGCGTATGTGTATATATATTTATATATACATGTCTACATAATATATATATATTATATAAATATATCATATCTATATATATATATTAATAATATATCATATAATATAATATATCATATATATATATATACATCACATTTTCATTCATATAGACATTACTAGAATATGGTTTTCCACTCTATAGATATTTGCTCAATGATTTTAAAACAAAAATGGATTACCCTTACATGTCAACAAACTACTTTATTCTGCAAAGTTTAATTTCGAAAAATGAACTATGCATAAAGGGACAGAAGATTACATTACCTGTGAAACGTATTCCTATCTGCATGCACATCTAACATATCCACAGAGAGGTCATAGGCGGTGAGGTTGAGCGAAGCGAACACTTGGGCCAAGGTCATCTCCTCCCCCTTGACGACGCATACGATTTCATCCGGGTGGGTTTTCACGCACTTCTTGATGAACCGCAGCAAGTGCTTCTGGTTCATGCAAGACGCTGCGTGAATGTGCGTGTCCACCTAAGAGATAGATAATTATTCAAACACAAGCAGAACTTCAAAAGGACAATCAACATATTTTTGTCTTATACTATTCATGAAACTTGTCTACATGATGCATGTGAAGTATATATATACATAAAACACACTGTGACCACCAGCGGCCCGTTTCTTCTGCCTCTGCTCCCTTCCTTTCCCTTCTTCCTCTCTCTTCCCTTCTTCCCATTCGCGCATTTGTTTGTGCTAACACACACACATCTATAATGGATGTATATGTGTATACACACAAACACACACATACATACATATAATATATATACACATACATACATACAAAAACACACACACACACACACACATATATATATAATACATATATAATGTATATAATATATATGTATACATATAAATATATAATATACATATATATACATAATAATATATATATATATATATATAATATATTAATACATATATATGTGTTTTTTATGTGTGTGTGTGCATACACATACAATTACATATTCAAATATAATACATGTACAAAGTACATATATGTACAAATACATATATAACAATATACAATATAACATATATACATATACAAATATACATATATCAATATAATACATATAAAAATATATATACATTAAATATATAATATATATATATATATATATATATAATAAGACATATATATATGGGAAGTACACAGTGATGGATAAATGGAGGGAGGCTATAGGGAGGGTAGGCTTCCGTTGCAGCGGAGGTTCGGTCAAGGATTGCAGGACCACTTCACGGGACTGGTTTTGTGTGCCAAATTACCCATGTTAATGGCCACTATGCTATCGTAGTGTTTCCCCTGACTCGTCTATGAGCCAATGGAACAAACTGAAAGGTCATGCGGAAACTGTTCTTGGAGTTACTCTCACGCATCACAAACCCACATCCGCCAGCCAGTTCTCTCACGCGCCCGCTGCCTAGCCAACTGTGCCCAGTAATGCTATTGTTTTACAGGATGCACTCAAACCCGTGGATAATGCAAAACCTAAGATTTCTAGTGTCCTTTGCACCCCCGGGCTAGTACTGTAGTAACGCGTTAATTTCTCAACCGAGGTGTCGGCGGTTCTCCAACCTGCTGCCATCCAAAAGCTAAATGTACCAGAGAAATGTTATGGTATGACAATTTGGAATGAACTATGGTTGTATGGACCTTATGCATTTCAGGTAATTAATCTTGGATTACAATTTTGCGCTTTCGACTGATCAGCAACCACTACCAATGGGCACCATG